TATAATTCGAAAGGAGATCAGTGTCTCCGATACTTCGTAAGGAGAGGCGTACCTCCGATACCACGTAAGATCAGAGATCTCCGATACTTCGTTAGGAGATAAGTACCTCCGATACCATGTAAGATCAGTGATCTCCGATACTTCGTAAGAAGAGAGGTACGTCCGATACCACGTAAGCAAATCAGTGTCTCCGATATTACGTAAGGAGAGAAGACTTTAGTATCTCCGACACCACCTAAGATCAGTGTTCCCGATACTTCGTAGGGAGAGAAGTAGCTCCGATACCATGTAAGCAAATCATTGTTTACGATACTACATAAGGGGAGAAGTACCTCCGATACCACGTAAGCAATATAGTGTCTCCGATACTTCGTAAGGAGATAAGTACCTCCGATACCACGTAAGATCAGTGATCTCCGATACTTCGTAAGGAGAGAAGTACCTCCGATACCATGTAAGATCAGTGTCACCGATACTCCGTAAGGAGAGATGTACCTCCGCTACCACGTAAGATCAGTGATCTCCGATACTTCGTAAGGAGAGAAGTACCTCCGATACCACGTAAGCAAATCAGTGTCTCCGATACTACGTATGGAGAGAAGTACATCTGATACCACGTAAGCAAATCAGTGTCTCCGATACTACGTAAGGAGAGAAGTACATCCGATACCACGTAGCAAATCAGTGTCTCCGATACTTCGTATGGAGAGAAGTACATCCGATACAACGTAAGCAAATCAGTGTCTCCGATACTTCGTAAGGAGAGAAGTACTTCAGATACCACGTAAGATCAGTGTCACCGATATATCGTAAGAAGAGAAGTACCTCTGCTACCACGTAAGATCAGTGTCTCTGATACTTCGTAAGAAGTGAAGTACCTCCGATACCACATAAGATCAGTGTCTCTGATACTTCGTAAGAAGTGAAGTACCTCCGATACCACGTAAGATCAGTGATCTCCGATACTTTGCAAGGAGAGAGGTACCTCCGATGCCACGTAAGCAAATCAGTGTCTCCGATACTACGTATGGAGAGAAGTACATCCGATACCACGTAAGCAAATCAGTGTCTCCGATACTACGTAAGGAGAGAAGTACATACGTAAGCAAATCAGTGTCTCTGATACTTCGTAAGGAGAGAAGTACCTCCGCTACCACGTAAGATCAGAGTCTCCGATACTTTGTAAGAAGTGAAGTATCTCCGCTACCACGTAAGATCAGAGTCTCCGATACTTCGTAAGGAGAGAAGTACCTCCGCTACCACGTAAGATCAGTGTCTCCGATACTTCGTAAGGAGAGAGGTACCTCCGATACCACGTAAGATCAGAGTCTCCGATACTTTGTAAGAAGTGAAGTATCTCCGCTACCACGTAAGATCAGTGTCTCCGATACTTCGTAAGGAGAGAAGTACCTCCGCTACCACGTAAGATCAGTGTCTCCGATACTTCGTAAGGAGAGAAGTACCTCCGATGCCACGTAAGATCAGTGTCTCTGATACTTCGTAAGGAGAGAAGTACCTCCGATGCCACGTAAGATCAGAGTCTCCGATACTTCGTAAGAAGTGAAGTATCTCCGCTACCACGTAAGATCAGTGATCTCCGATACTTCGTGAGGAGAGAGGTACCTCCGATGCCACGTTAGATCAGTGTCTCCGATACTTCGTGAGGAGAGAAGTACCTCCGATACCACATAAGATCAGTGTCTCCGATACTTCGCAAGGAGAGAAGTACCTCATTGGCAGTGCGTAACGTGGGATGAACGCAGAGAATCAGTAGTAATATCACAGTAGTAGTAGTAGTAGTTGTTGTAGTAGTAGAATTGTTAGTCGTAGGATAGTAGTAAAAGTAGAAGTGGGCTATAGGAATGTATGTTAAGCTAGTTGAGTTAGTAAGTTTAGTAACGAGTATTAGTCATTCAGAATAAGTTTAGATTTAAGTGTAGTTTGAGAGAGCGAATAAGTTTTTAAAAATTAAACCTTATTCTATGTTGTGGCCACTTCAGTACGTGGCGGAAAGAATGTGCACATACATAATTGGAGTAAACATAACAAGAGTGCTCTGAGAGCACAACATCCCCCGCACGAAATGTTTTAACGAGTTTATATTTTCCTTGAATTTTATGAAATAACAACAGTAGATGGCACTGCATTTGAAACAAATTGTGCAGAACATTTTGTTGGGAGTAATCCAGTCTGAATGCTAATGCCATAAGGATGTAGCTCACCCACAAAAGTCTTATACAAGGAAACTAACTATAGTTATAGTTATAGTTAGATATTGTGATATTCTCTGGAAACTGGAGGAGGAGTAGTTTTCATGAAGCTCCGTAAAACAGGGGCAGTAACTCTGTCAAAATTTGTCGAAATGAAACGGGACTACGATATGCGTATCATCAACATGTCGACTTCTTGTGTGTAGAGTGTCAGGGATATTCTCTAAAAGCTGGAGGAGGAGTTGATTTCACAAGCTTAGTACCTCTCTCACAATTAGGCAAATGAAGCTCCGTAAAACAGGGGCAGTAACTCTGTCAAAATTAGTCGAAATGAAACGGGACTGCGATATGCATATCATCAACATGTCGACATCTTGTGTGTAGAGTGTCAGGGATATTCTCTGGAAACTGTAGGAGGAGTTGATTTCACAAGCTTAGTACCTCTCTCACAATTAGGCAAATGTCGCTCCGTAAAACAGGGGCAGTAACTCTGTCAAAATTTGTCGAAATAAAACGGAACTGCGATATGCGTATCATCAACATGTCGACATCTTGTGTGTAGAGTGTCAGGGATATTCTCTAAAAGCTGAAGGAGGAGTTGATTTCACAAGCTTAGTACCTCCCTCACAATTAGGCAAATGAAGCTCCGTAAAACAGTGGCAGTAACTCTGTCAAAATTAGTCGAAATGAAACGGGACTGCGATATGCGTATCGTCAACATGTCGACATCTTGTGTGTAGAGTGTCAGGGATATTCTCTGGAAACTGTAGGAGGAGTTGATTTCACAAGCTAAGTACCTCCCTCACAATTAGGCAAATGAAGCTCCGTAAAACAGGGGCAGTAACTCTGTCAAAATGAGTCGAAATGAAACGGGACTACGATATGCGTATCATCAACATGTCGACATCTTGTGTGTAGAGTGTCAGGGATATTCTCTGGAAACTGTAGGAGAAGTTGATTTCACAAGCTAAGTACCCTCTCTCACAATTAGGCAAATGAAGCTCCGTAAAACAGGGGCAGTAACTCTGTCAAAATTAGTCGAAATGAAACGGGACTGCGATATGCGTATCATCAACATGTCGACATCTTGTGTGTAGAGTGTCAGGGATATTCTCTAAAAGCTGGAGGAGGAGTTGATTTCACAAGCTTAGTACCTCTCTCACAATTAGGCAAATGTCGCTCCGTAAAACAGGGGCAGTAACTCTGTCAAAATGAGTCGAAATGAAACGGGACTGCGATATGCGTATCATCAATATTTCGACATCTTGTGTGTAGAGTGTCAGGGATATTCTCTAAAAGCTGAAGGAGGAGTTGATTTCACAAGCTTTGTACCTCTCTCACAATTAGGCAAATGAAGCTCCGTAAAACAGTGGCAGTAACTCTGTCAAAATTAGTCGAAATGAAACGGGACTGCGATATGCGTATCATCAACATGTCGACATCTTGTGTGTAGAGAGTCAGGGATATTCGCTAAAAACTGTAGGAGGAGTTGATTTCACAAGCTTAGTACCCTCTGTGAGGCGGACAGACGGATGGACTGCGCCACGACATAATCCCCCTTCGGCCATTCTGGCCCGGCGGGGGATGAAAACTGACACAGTTAAAAAAAACTTGGAAACATCAGGGTGCCGTTGTACAGAACGTCCTTAGCGCTACGAATATCGTAAGTCTATGTTAAGGTATGGGAGTTACGAACACCTTAGACCCAAGATCGCTTTGTACAACGGCATCCTGGAATATACCATTAAATAACTAAAGAGTTTTGATTGTCTTAAACCAACGCAGAGGAGGAAGGCGTGTGTGATGGAGGGGCAGCTGATACTGAAGCCACCGTTACTATACTGACGGAGAAAAATAAGAGAACACGTAGTATCGCAACATGGGCTGCTGTGTCTCTAGAGATGGCAGTTGTGGTATTGCTAAACAATCTTCTACCATATAATGTCCTCGGCTAGAAAATGTATCTGGTGCAAGCTGACAAGAGGATCGGGTGGCCACAATGTCTGACCTTGCTGATAGTGTGTCATCATAACCAGGTGGTCACTCATGCTATCAAATCCTGGCCCAGGTTCGACCCTCTACGCTCTATGATCTACCCTCTATAAACTATCCGCTATCCGCCGTGATATAAGTTTGAATAGTGCTGACTGAGGTATAAAGAAAGAGATGATAATAGCCGAGGTGTATATTGGATTCTGTTATATGTGTTCCCTTATTTTTATCCATCAGTATATACAGATAAAATACGTTAAATAGTTAAAATTATTTTGAAGTACATACATGTAAATACATTATAATTATTTTACATTCCAGCCATTTTTATAGTTCATGCATAATTAGTGTATAAGTTTACATCACACATCCTACTCCTTATCCAATGCTACAGTAACTGGAATCAACATGAATACAACGTCTGGTATATATATATATCATACAGATCAGAATCAATCATCATAATTCAATTTAACCCATTATGTTTCAGCCAGTTCGGATTCTAAAATCATTATCACCAATCATGGTTACCCTCGTAATCCTCGTGAACATGATGGCCAGCTCGTGACCCGGATGTTCTGGTCTGCCTGGCCGCCATGACACCTCGTTACTCCAGAAGGTCCAGGAAGGACGAGACGACCCCGGTTATCCAGCCGAAAAAGGAGTACCCCTTCTTGACTGTGTCCATAACACCGGTTGTCATGGTAATGTCTTGGGAAGACTTGGTCTTCTTGGAGTTGGCTGTCAAAAGGAGATGTAATTATTGTACTTATTTTATTCAGGTTTTAACAGTTAAAGGGGGACTCGGCTGGGCTAACTGTCCCTCCGGGCAAATGGGATTCACGGAGCTCAGATAACAGTTTCCTGATCTACTAGTTAAAGTTTCATAATCAAGTAAGCAGTGATTGATAAGGCTAATTACACAGACAATGGATTATGTTTTACACAATTATTTAATTCCAATGCCCAGACCTAGGCAAACAGTGGATACCAGACTGCAGAGCAGAAACAGCATTTATTTTTTCTTGTTGCTTAACGCCGCACTCAGCAATATTCCAGCTATATATGATGGCGGTCTGTAAGTAATCGAGTCTGGACCAGACAACCCAGCGATTGACAACATGAGCATCGATCCATGCAATTGGGATCGATGACATGGTTTAACCAAGTTAACGAGCCTGACCACCCGATCCCCTTAGTCGCCTTTTACAAGCATAGTCGCCTTTTACGGCAAGCATAGGTTGCTGAAGATCTATTCTAACCCGGATCTTCCCGGGCCAGCAGTTATAGCAAGGTGGATTCTTTGAGAACTCCGCCGTCTGCTAGATGAAATTTACTACACGCCTAGACCCAGAAGGGAAACGTGTCGCCGTTTCGTCAAAGATCCGCTATTCGCTGTGCAGAGTGCCCTCCCTTTGGCCTATGATCATGGGTTCCAAACCCAGATTGGCCTTATATTCCTAGGTTTATCTTCATTGGTATTTTTTTCAACCACTAATACTCACAACTGAAATAAGTTACCTTACCCATTGTTTTCTTCAGCCTCCGGTTCTTGGAGCCTGACCTGGTTCCGTCTTTCCTCTTCTCTCCAGAGACACGTCTCCGTGGGTCGTGCAGTTCCAACATCAGACGACCCTGATTCTCGTCCGTGGCACGAGCATTCTCTACAGCTGACAGGATATGCAGGTCATCCTTCGCTACTTCCGGTAAAAAGCGGAAGTCCTGTGAGTGCCGGAAACACGAAGCCTCCCAGGGGGCCTCGAGGTGAAGTCCATCGTCTCCATGGTCGACATAGAGGTAGCGGTTGTTGCCATTCTCCCATCGCAGTGCCTGTGGAAATCAGATCGGGGTTAATTACGAGGAACATTCTGGAAACAATGGTTCCGTTTCAGATCTGATTTCATAGTAAGCGCGGTTTCTGTGTATGATATCGCCATACTATCATGGTATATAATTCGACCCATTGGACCTAGCTCCTACCCAGAGTTCCATGCGACCAGCATAGTACCTCTGCCACAGGACAGCGCCATGTGACGATTCGTAACATCTTACACGGTCCATTCAAGATATTGCATATATTTTTCATCTGTTTCATTTTTGACAAGTCTACATATCTAGATAAACAGATGTCACAGAATGGTTAACTTTCATTGATAAAATATCCTAAATCGTGAAAAACTATTTCCATTTGCGTTGTTATCCTATGTTTACATTGGTTGCACGGCTCAACGTGCTGTCATCGAAGCCCTACGGAGAGATTGCGATACGGTCACTTTGATATGTACATATGTACTGGCATGCAACTCACTGTCGCAGTTGTAGTAGCAGTGTCTATATAATCATTCAAAACAATATGTAAAGCGCCTCCAAATACTTGCATTAGTCCGTTCTATTCGGATTTCTGAAAAAGCGCGTTTGTTTACAAACAAGTCCGGTCACGTGATATGCAAATTAGCCTGTAGCAGTGGTGTTATGCAAAGTCACCACTGGGCCGAAATGTGCCATTGGACACCATAGCTTTGTACCGGAAATTACGTCACAGCCTCAATCGTTCCAATGTCTTACTAAGCACAGAATTGTTCATGTTCATGAGAGTAATTTAATTGGACGGTTTTAACTAGCGCCGTGCCATTCAAACGAAGCAATGGTAGTGACTTGATCCAGGATAGGAATTTAAATAATATGCTGGATAACCGAGGATTTACAGTTATTTCAATAGTATTACATAAAATACGAATGACAACATATCACGAAATATTTCAATCTCATTAAAATCAGACCTTAGTTCTAAACAAAGATCTGAGGACATCCCATTAGGGGTCACGTCAGAACGACCATTTGCGACCTTTGAAAGCAGCTTTCTCGAGCTTTACGGCACTCGTTTCAACCTGGCGACTTCCACTTCAGATTACGCTTGAAAAATATGTTGACACAGTTCTCGATTAAAATTTTGAAAACTGAACAAACAAACATTCCGGAATGTCTAATAAATGGTTGCGATTGTATGGCGGTGATTCCCCTGTACTGTGCAACGCCTCCTCCGTTCAAATGTTTATCCCACGGAAACGAGAGATAGACGATAATTTTGACGGAATCAGTCGTACGGGCCGTAACTGTCGTTCGGAATACACCGTGTTAATGTTTTCCAGTTTGCATGAATAGAAAACACATTCCGACTGTCACTTTCATCATCTGGTAAGCGAGGCTTTGATTGGTCGGATGAAAGGTTGTTCTGACGTGACCCGTAATGGGATGTCCTCAGATCTTTGTTTAGCAGTAGCGAGAACTAAGATCTGAGTTAAATGAGATTGTGAAATATTTTAGAGAAGAAACCTTTATAGTTATCCTCGCTACATCGAAAGTGAACGTTGGAGTAGGATTCCTGTTAAAATTAAGCGCAAAGGGTTTCCTGGGCACGCTATTTTCCCTTCCAGAACCGCGTCCAATTTTCTGTCATAAAACCTTAACAGATGACACAGACTGCGTCCTCTTTGAAAGGTAGCAGTCAAAGAAAGCAGCCGCACTCCGCAATATTCCAGCTATATGACGCAAATCTGTAAATAATCGTGTCTGGACCAGACAATCTAGCGATTGACATCATGAGCATTGATCTACGCAAATGGGATACGATGACAAGCATCAACCAAGTCAGCGAGCCTGACACCCGATCCCGTTAGTCGCCTCTTACGACAAGCATGGGTTGCTGTATGATTCATTGAAAGTATATATATACTGAATACCCCTTACTGAAATAAAATATCACTACACGTGTTCCTCTATTTACTACACACACTTGGGGCAGGATGTAGTTTCACCTCTCTAACATCAAGTTACTCCGTAGTCCCATGTGGACTCGACGAAATACGTATTCGATGGGACATCATGAAGGCAGATATGGCATACCTCATTCGTGACCAACTCGTGTTATTCCGGGACAAGCCGAATAGCGACTCGTGCCTCTCTCGTGGCCATTTTTGCGACCGGGTTTCGTCTTAGCGCAAACGGGCATACATAAAACAATTGTCAACTTGTTACATAATGGGTCACATATATTTCTCCTTATATTATATATATTTCAGATGCAATTTAAAGCACATCGGAACATGCGGAATTATACAGTATGAAAGAACACAATTAACTTTGTCTTGTGTATATTTTTAGATGCAAGACATATATAAAATCAAAATTTAAATTATTTGTGAGGGATTCTTTGACGAAGAACTTGAAATCATACGCGCATTTTGATATCATTCATCGATAGGGGGACGAGTCTTCTTGCAGGTTACGGAAAGGGGCGAGTGGTGACGTATGGGCATACCTCTGCTGGTAGTAAAATCATAACTAAGCCAGTTCAATAAAAATAACAATTCATTGACTGATTTGGGGCTAATGAATGCAAATTAAGTGCCGATTTATGTGCTGGCTTTTTTTAATCGCAAATTAGTACTGCGAATTGTGACGCCATACATGACAGTAGCGTCCATACCCCATGTTGATTATAAAAGGGGAGGGAATATTTGGATACGGAAACAGGTCATACCATACCTGCCTCTCCTTCATCCGTCTCAGGGGGCACGGGTAGCCCAGTCGTCTAAGGCGCCGCGATTCGCTGTGCAGAGTTGCGTCCCTTGGGCACGCCAGAAACCTCTTATTGTGGGTTCGAACCCCGGTTCGCCCCGATTCGGGTGACGTTATTAACAAAACACACATCTCACAGTAGATAACGCTTCCTCCGAGTATTGATGCGTTTATCGACTTGCTTTGATGCATTTCAGAGAATAATCGGTGATATTCTATTAATACTTTACACTTATTCGTCACTGAAGGATCTTTAATATTAAATCGTCACTTCCGGAACATTCATACTATCCTAATTTGAAATTTTCTGTTCTGTAATAATTATTTGAAATTGGCACAGAGCCTATTTTCCTCTACAAATGAAGTAATCAATCATAGTTAAACGTGTGATTGCTTGAAATGTGTAACGTGTGTATTTGTAACTTTGTTTGGCAAAGGTGCCCGTTGCACAAAGCTATCGTAGCGCTTAGTTTGATCGTAGGTGAGGTGAGGTGAAATGGGGTTTAACGTCGCGTCCAAGATTATTGCACTTACAGAGCGACGTGCATGTACGTGTGTGTGTTTGTGTGGCTGCTTGTACTAGTCCGGACTGATGCCGATTTATAGTGCTAGCTCACTGAGATACCATGCCGCAGTTTAACATGAATACCCTACTCAGACACAGTATACTGACTCCGAGCCGACCAGTCCTTGTTTTATCCCCTTAATGCCGAGCGCCAGACAGGGTAACAACAAGTACCATCTTTTAACGTCTTTTGGTTCGACGCGGTCGGGGATCAAACCCCGGACCTTCCGCTCTCCGGGCGGACGCTCTACCACTAGACCACGGAGGCGGTCCTAGTTTGATCGTAACTCCCATACTTAAACATATAAGCAAACGACGGTCGTAGCGCTCATGTCGCTTTGCGCAACCAGGCTCAGATAAACCGATTACAATTTGTCATCTCAATATTGACTCACCCTTCCCGACCGGGCGTTAGTGACAACCCATTTCCATTCGTATCGGTGGACCTTCTCCAGGATGAGGTTGGCCGTCCATCTGCCCGACCCTGGGGGGAACTCCTCGCGAGCTATAACGCCCTTTCGTGGGTCCCAGCTCCCCAGGGAGGGTGCCGCACCAGAGATGACCAAGCGTTGACCAGCATGACAGTGGTAGTCTACGGACAATGTGACGTCACATGTGTCGGACCGGAAGGCCTGAGCGGGACGACCCCACGCTGTATGAATGGTTCCTCCTATGTTGCCGACGGCTGTGCTCCTTCTGCATGGATCCCAGAGAAGGACCTTGTTCTTCTTGTGGTTTGTAGTGATCCAGTTCCATTCAAAGGTTGACCCAACAGGTATCAAAACCCGTGCCTCCCATTTGGAGAAGTTTTCCGAAGGCACGGCATTCACGCTGTGTTCGAGATCCCAGCTTCCCAGCTGTGGGATAGAACCCAAGATGCAGACATGGGAGAAGCAAATTCCCCCGATACCCTCCCGAACACGCGCGTTGTCCGGGGGACAGTGCATCCTGAACACAGCGTAGACGTACTCGCCAGGCATCGTCGGCGTCTGCGACAGCATTCGCAGCGAGACACCATACACGACTGACGGCAAACTTGTTGCTAACTGAGTTTTGGAAAGACGGTGTCTGTGACGTGATGTCATTATGACGTCACAATAACGCGGACGTCATCTACTGGCTCACAGATGAGGGTATTTCTTAACGAAGAGCGTTAACTGGGCTGCTGTCCAACTAAGCTATTCGCGAGAGTGAAACCAGTTTATGATGAGCGCTTGTATAAGCAGATAAAAAACAACAACAGGAAAACCATGACACGAGGAATCAACACTGCGCCAAAACTCAGAAAACCCGAAAATATTCAGGATTTTGTATTCAGTATATGTTATTGGAAGCATTTAAACAAAATTCAGTTCCTGAAAGTTAACTACCCATTGATGCAAGAAATGCATTTAATAACGAAGAACTAATTTCGATTACATTCTTTGCATTGATGTTACACTTAAATGTATGTACACTTTTGCCAACAATGTTGGAGGGATTTTATCCCAGTTTCGTAGAAGCGTTTCTCTTGGCTGTCCAAAACATTCTCCACGACGGGTATGAGGTCATCGTTCGAGTCAAAATGGGTTCCGGCTCGAGCGTTCATCATGTTTGGGAGTCCGACAGAGCCAGACAGGGAGAGTAAGGCGGGTGCTGAGGGAGTTTTAAACCACACTCGTGGATTGTCTGCATGGCAATCACTGATTTGTGCACAGGCGCATTGTCCTGGTTGAATATATAGCACACCTTTCAAGGCTCAGCTTCCCATGTCTCGCAGTCTTAATTTCATCCCGTAATTGCCACAGAAGTGCAGCAAAATATGATCCCTTTATTGTTTGGAAGATACTCATCATGATGGCACATCGGCATCCCAGAACACGGAGGCGGTGGGATAGACTAGTGGTTAAAGCGTTCGACGGTCACGCCGAAGACCCGGGTTCGATTCCCCACATGTATACAATGTGTGAAGACCATTGTCCGGTGTCCCCGCCTTGACATTGCTGGAGTACTGCTAAAGACGTCGAAAAACCATACTCATTCACTCATTACTCACTCACTCACTCTCTTTACGGTGACATAGGGAGGAGCATCGTACTCTCTTGGCGTTAAGGCCTTTTTCTGTACGGTTCGCCCCGATTGTTTCTAGGTTTCACCGAAGTGGTAAACGTCCAAAACCTGCATCATTTCGGGCTTTCCTCCAACATTAAGCTGACACGCCGCGTTATAACTGGAATACTGTTAAAAGCGGCGTTAAACCCAAACTCACTCACTCTCAGTATTCCAGTTATATCATGGCGTGTCAGCTTTATGTGGGAGGAAAGCCCGAAGTGATGCAGGTCTCAGACGTTTACCACTTCCGTGAAACCCACGAACACGGGTATGGTGCTGACAAACCTAGAAACATAATCAGGGCGAACCAGGATTCGAACCCACAATCATAGATTTCTTACTCTCGGTAAGTATAGAGAGCTCCGCGACCGGACTATCGTTGTGGGGAGCTTTGTGACAGGGATGTTACCGAGAGTGTAAAGAAGGTGTCCCTGTACACAACAAGGGCAGATAACTCTAATTGTAGCTGGGAAGGAGCTTGGTAAATGACCATGGCAGGTTTGATCGTTCCAGGGGTATTTTGATGGGACAGTTTGTAGATGCCTTTCTGTCTGTATAAGAGAGCAACAAGAGTGCGAGTAGTGGTCTTGTTTCCAATTTACTTATGGTTTTGAGGTCTATTTGGAAACACCAAGGCTACATGACACTTTACATCCTCTCTTGGGGAGTTTACATCCTGTCTACAAGTCTTTACATCCCCTCTGTAGGACATCACATCCCCCTGTAGGAACTTTGCAGGAATTTCCAGCTGGGCGTATCTCTGCATCTCTTCAAGACGAAAGGATTTACACTGCTCGTTTCAAACACAAAGAACAATCACATTGACAAATACATTTATTCTGAGGTACAAAAGTAATGTCACGTGACTTGTTGACTGGAACTGTCTGATGAGTCTGTTACTTCTCCGAGTGATGGAGAATCGTGGGAGCCTGTGGATATGATCGTAGCTTCTTTGTCAGCATCTGCAGATGCAGCTAAAGGTTTCACAAACTTCCCCTGAACAAATATACGAGGAACACATATTCCCTCTTTCTTGTTGACTGTCTCTCGCTTGACATACTCATTCTTGCTAACTGTAAAACCAGCGGAAGTCATCACATTCTCAAGATTTTCTGAAAATAAACCAAAATAATTTTTAGAATCAAGGAGGCTATCCTACGTGTGTTTGCAACTGAATACAGTAAACAACGTTTATAATGAACACGCTCATAACGAACTTATGTATATAACAAACTTACTTTTTTGTCCCGACTATTTCCTGTAGTTATGCTGTATATATGCTTATAATGAACTACAGTTATAACAAACTAAATTTAGTGGTCCCTTTGAGTTCGTTATAACCGTAGTTTACTGTATTAATCATAATCACATTAAATATGTCATTCAACCTCAGCAACCTCCACAGATGTCCTGAAGTTGTCTAGAGTTGGTTTATATGTCCTCCATGATGATTCCAGGTTAGAAGAGGTCATAATGATATCTCACCTATAGAAAAGTAATATGCCCGAGTTCCATCCTGCCTCACGTAGAAGTGGTCGGACAGTTTATGTCCAGGGGCAAATCTCAGCATTGCATAGTCATACAATCCATAGTCTCGGAACAAGATGCACCCCCCAGGCCGAATCACCTGTTGCCATGGTGATAAAATACATATCAGATTAATATCATAAAATTGTAAGCGAAATTATCAGGATAAGTTTGATACATGTACCTACAATTATTTCACTTTATGTTGAGTCTACCGCTAATTGCACACACAGTGGACTGTCTAACCATGCTAACTGGCATCATGTGGTACTGGAAAGAAATGCTGGTTTAAGCAGAGAATGCTGATCGTGGATGAGAATGACGTCACTATATAGATTACCCTAACCGTGACACGCATCACTCATCAGCAATTTATACTGAAATAAATTTCTAATCCATGTTTAGATATGTATCGATACCAGGCTTCTGTGTGTTTATTTAGTAGACATGCTTATGCCTAATTGATAGAGTATTCTACCATGAATTTGGAAAATTTTCGATTTTGATAGGTAAATCAGAGCTTTCAAATCATCACAAAACCCCTGGGATTGAAACAGTCGATTTGACGGGTGCATCACCGTGGAAGCTAATATTTTTAGAATGGTACTTCTGTTACAGTCATTGTTGGTAGGCATATTTAAATAATTATACGTACAATTATAGGCTACAAAATGCAAAGTTGCGGTTACCACAATATTCAAAGGATGTATGGCAATACATTTCGATCAGAAAACATGATAAAAATCTACAAAGACAATGTATTTCAGTTTTTGAGGACAACCGAGAGCTTGCCATTTGGCTCTTTTCTAAATACGACTGTAACATCATATCTTTTACGTCACAATGAGCGATATGATGTCATAATAGTGACATGCTGGGTAGAACGAAACCTTTGCAAGGCTTGCTTAGTTTTCTTTAGGGGTGCCCACCTCATATTAGCTGACGAAGTTATCGTGCTACATGCTTTCAGTGCCTGTTGTGAGTTCGAGTATTACGGTGCAAACAAACTGCTTGAGCATATTGAGTGCCATATTTTGTTGAAAGGCTGTTGCCCACTCAAAACACTGGACTCAACCAATACTGCTTCACTCAATGTATTTGCTAAACCCAAAGGTTTCGCGTTTCATTTATCATGGTAGAATGTGCGTTCAGTTCCAAATTCAATTTAGCACGGTTAAATCTACAGGTGACCTTGCTCTACACTGACAACACAGTATGTTTACCTCCTGATTTGTTTCCGGCTTACAACTGAGTGATTGTTCAGTGCCGGATTACGGAGGCATTTTTTACGTAAATTGATAATTTCAACTAAAAACAGTACCAGAATCAAGGATAGACAGTGGCTGCAATACACAGAGATTAATAAATGACATCAGTGTAAGAGCCTCCATTTTACCTTAAAGACATTGTGAAGAGCAGCAAGCATCTTATCTGGGTGTATAGCTGACAACACAAAGATCATGGACACAGCATCTACAGTGTCTGGGGGCACGTCGTCGCGGAGGTCTTCAACTGTCAGATCACACTGGAAGGCGTTGCAGCGGGCAGCATCGTACAGGGGATGAGACTGCAACAAGATGATATTCACTAGAAATACATAGACGACTGAGTGACTGAGAGTGAATTGGGTTTTTTAGCAAGTTTTTGCAGTATTCCAGCAACACGGCGGAGGATGACACCAGAAATGGTGTACCAAAGTGGGAATCGAACCCAGACCTGTGGTGTGATGAGCAAACGCTTTAGCCACTAAGCAATGCCACAACAGCACTATCCCAATACACACACTAAGCTGAAGAACACAAAATGTCATAGGTGTGAGAAGGTTTTCTGGTTAGGAAGATATCTGCTGGATTGTTAGCACTCACCCAGTCATAATATTTAGTGAGTGAGTGAGTTGGGTTGGGTTTAACGCTGCTTTTAACAGTATTCCAGTTATATCACGGCATGTCAGCTTAATGTGGGAGGAAAGCCTGTAGTGATGCAGGTCTCAGACGTTTACCATTTCAGTGAAACCCACGAGCACAGGTATGGTGCTGACAAACCTAGACACATAATCAGGGCGAACCAGGATTTGAACCCACAACCATAGGTTTCTGGGGTGCCCAAGGGACGCAACTCTGCACAGCGAATCGCGGCACCTAAGACGACTGGGCCACCCGTGCCCCCTCATAATATTTAACCTAAGTTACCATGACAACCATGTGGTATAGTAACTGCCTGATACCTGTTTCTGTCTTTTTTCTTGATTTGGGGGTTGGGGATACCGAGTTTCATCACAGAACTTACTTTGACAAATTCCACAGCTCTCTTGGAGAAATCACATGCATGAAAGTACAAGTTTTTGTCCTCCTCCAGTAGAGGGAAAATAAAGTTGCCGACACCACAACCAACTTCCAGTACCGTCTTCACATCGGAATCCTGAAACACGCCTAAATCATATGATGCATGTTACAACCTGATGGATACAGGACGCATTGGTAAAAATATCCACAATGACAATCTTCCATTTATTATATGTAGGGAAATGGTTTTAGCTGCGCAACCAGGGTAATGGGTATCATTTCCTTGAAAACAGGACAAAAAAATAAAACAAGGTTTTAAGTGGTAGTCTTTACATAAAAGCAGTCAATTCAATAATAACGTACCCCTTGTTAAAAATTCCCAGTTAGTGAAAACATAACACTTTATCACGATTTGCCTTGGCCTTGTCACTTGCCTTGAAGTATTGGATAAATCTCTGTACATTGTTTGTTATTGTTCCAATCCATCTGTTAAATTTTGATTGGAAGTTCGTAAGCATGGTCTTTGAGACACCCCTGATGGGTTGGTTGTTTTTTTGTTAAACGCCGCACTCAGCAATATTCCAGCTATATGACGGCGGTCTGTAAATAATCGAGTCTGGACCAGACAGTCACTGTCAGATTACCTTTCCTTTTAATAACACCACTGTATATAATAAGCTCACATACATAAAGATTCAGCTTCAGAACTTCGTTGTTTCAGAGATACTCCATGAACCATGACATGCAAATGTAAAATATTTCTCTTCTATTATTTCTAAGATGTGGAAGATGATTTTTTCCGTGGACTAGTTTATTTTGCACGTTTCCGCAGAGATTTCACATCCCTTATATATATATATATATATATATATATATATATATATGATTTGGGGGGTATTTTTATGTTACTACCATGATTCCCTGGTTATCTAGTTTTTTGCATTACTGACCTCTGCTTAAAGTAAATGGCTAAAAGTATTTTCTACACAAGTACTTGTCACTTGTCCTTTTAATAACACCATTGTATATAATAAGCTCACATACATAAAGATTCAGCTTCAGAACTTCATTGTTTCAGACTGCCGTGATATTGCTGGAATATTGCTAAAAGCGGCGTAAAACCATACTCACTCACTCACTCATTGTTTCAGAGATACTCCATGAACCATGACATGCAAATGTAAAATACTGCTCTTCTATTTAAGATGGCCTTAACTGATGTGACTTGAAATGATCTTGATTATGAAACTTATTGAAGCAGGATGACAAGACTATTAATGAAATAACGAAAGGTTAAAATAATGTCCAGGTCTGATTCAGAGAGATGGGTTAAGAAGAAGAGGCAGTATATTTCAGCAATAGAGATAGGCCAATTTAAAAGAACTGAAAACATTGTCAAAATTCTCATTTGATTCAAAGAAAAACTTTGATCATAATTTCTTTCTGTAAACCCAACCTGTTTTTCACTGATTAGTTCTGAAAACTCTCTTTTTGTCCAGTGTCGGTCCTTAAAGAATTTGGTAGTGTTCCGTTTATAAAACAAATCCCAATTCTTTTGTGCTTCCAGTTCAAACTTCCTTTGCTTATATTCAGAAATGAGTGTCTTGTCCTTATCAAGCTTTGCTGTTTCTTCAGGTGTGAGAGTTCTTGCATGGTGACCAATTATTTCCTCACGTCCATTTTGAGAATCATCCCAATGTTTGGCAGCAGCTTCTTCTTTCATGTCTTTGTCCATGCGGCCTTATCTGAAATGATAAAGGGTTAACACTGCAGTTATCTGATTGGCTGATCAGTCACTGGTCAACCATTACTTCTTCATGACGTCATCGAGTGAGTTTAATGTGACGTCACTTGCCTGTCCCATCACATTTGAATGAGTGTTTGCAATTTGAGTGAGTAAGAATGGTTTTACACCGATTTTAGCAATATTCCATCAATATCATGGCGGGGACATCAGCAATGGACTTCACATTGTACCCATGTTGGGAATCGAACCCAGGTCTTTGGCGTGACAAGTGAATGCTTTAACCACAAGGTACCCGACCGCCCCTCGCACTTTTAGTTATCTCACAGAGAGTATGCAAGCAGGGGGGAAGTAGTGCACTTTAAAGGCGGCCTTTTGGAATTTCAATGCGTGTCGCAGGAAGGAGTGAACTCACATTGCAAGTCTGAAGCCTAGCCATGCTAGAGATTAATCTAATTAGCCTACACGTTACCATGGGACCAAGGGCGCTATCACAAATAGTTAGTATTCATTTACTAAGTGATCAGCACATGTTTACCTTCATGCACATGCACCCTTAAAAACTGATTATAATTGTACAGATTTTCCTCAAATTAATTTGATAAAAGAGATAGCTAACCCATACCCTTACTCACAACTAACCCTAAGGATCGTAAAGGAGCATTTTATTGGAAAGGAGTACCAAATTCCAATGATCGTAAAGGGGATCCAAGTTCCTAGGCAAGGGCTAAATATACAGTTGGGGGTAACCTAGTCTCTCAAACAAACCCTGAAACAAATATATCCAATACAGCCCATGCAAGTCTATAATAGTGGGCAAGTCTAGATTACTGCAGTATCAGGAAATCTGAAAATGAAGAAAGTCTCTGGGCTCCTTTTTATTATATCTTATAACAATAAAGAATAACATTTCAGTAACTTGTGAAATCCTCAACAGAAATGAATACATCAAATCTATCAGCTGAAAACGATCAACAGCTTGTTTGGGACCAAATGTAAGTAACGTTTTTCTCAAAGCCTACCAATGGTGAGGGCTCTTGTAACTGTCGAAAAGATCAAAGTAGACACAATGTATGGATAAAGACTCTGATCAGTACAAATGTTAACAGACGATAGTGGACAACGTTCATGCTGCAGTATTTACAAAGGGAGGTAACTCTCTAACAAGTGACAAGTCATTTAATAGAAGAATTACATGCAATAAAACAATAAAGAGTGAAATGGACGAAGCATAGGCATCAACCTTAATTTAACTGTAAGTATTAATATTCATGCGGCAACGGTTTTACTTCAGACATGACTGCGTGACTGCGCAATATAGTTTAATGAAATCAAGAGGATATACATTAATGACGTATCCCCATCTTAAAAGCGGGAGCATCAACACTGCATAAACCGAACCAGACCAGGGGTGGGGGTGCGGTGTGTTAATGGATAAACTGGCAATTTAATAAAATATAAAGCTTCTGCATTTTGTCTTTTCAGGAAGGGTCATGAAAAACATGTACAATGAGATGGGGAAGGTTATCTAATAATATGACAAGTATTAGGGGAGGGTAATTATTTTCATTACGTCGGTGCATCAAAAACCTACACCTGTAATAAATGACCGATCCTTTATGAACGGTAACCAAAATACCAACAATGTAGTAACGTGGACGAATAGGCATGATCCTATCAAATTTATTTTTAACAGAACAGCAACTTTAGCTGTGTTCATTTAAACACGAGAAAGCGCCGTGTGCATTGACTGAATTGAAAACGAATACATTCACTGATATTCGTATATTTATCTTACAGCAGTAATATTTAGTGTGAAATGTATCACATTCAATACATCTTGGGGAAGCTTATTTTTAATGCATGTGCATACACAAATGTAACTAATGAATATAGGGGGCGGTCGGGTAGCCTTGTGATTAAAGCGTTCGCCCGTCACGCTGAAGACCCGGGTTCGATTCCCAACATGGGTACAATGTGTGAAGCCCATTTCTGGTGTCCCCCGCCGTGATATTGCTGGAATATTGCTAAAAGCGGCGTAAAACCAAACTCACTCACTCACTAATAAATATAGTCTTTGAAATCGTTGATTACACAATGCATTTCTCTCCTCTAAACAATAATATTTAAAAATATAAAGCTGATTTCATAGAGCTGGATAGACTTGTTTGTTCTATTAATGTAGATAGGTTTTGGTTTCTTAAAAGACTTGTGACAGGCTCAAGTATTTAAAATATGTACATAACGTTTCATTAAGATTAGTTAGTAAGTTAGTAGTAAAGTTATCATCCTCTATATCGCCAGGGCTCGCATTTCGATACACCTACTGCAAGTGTAGGTTCGCCGAAATGTTAGCCCTGACGACAAAGATGTTGTAAGGTTGCATCAGCTTGGTGCCATTTAATTATTTGGTTAAATACCTTTGATACTTACTTCAAACAACAATAATAATATCATTTTTGTTATATGATATACTTTAGTATTTTATACCCTAAACATTCATTACATAGCTCAGAAACATTAAATAAGCTTTCTCTCACTTTAACCTCAATTAATTGTCTTCCTGCATGCTTTTGACCTACATCGTTCTTGCGCGCACCGGCCCAGACAACCGTCTCGCTGATATACCAGGCTGGCCATAGCTTAACACCTCAATGTTCAGATTGTATACATTATTAAAATCCATTACTACTTTACTTATCAAGGATGGACATATCTCTTACTCGTAAATGTATTGCCGATCTTGAGTAGCAGTTTCGATAAGTTTCGATAAGACTTCCGCCCGTATCCCCACTCTATATGTGAGTTTATGTGAGTTATTGTGATATATATCGACTAAATATCTTATGTTATAATCTATATGTACAGTAATGACAAGTACATGTGATTGCACTCAGCAATATGACGACGATCTGTAAATAATCGAGTCTGGACCAGACAGTCCAGTGATTGACATCATGAACATCGATCCACGCAATTGGGATACGATGACATGCTTCAACCAAGTCATCGAGCCTGACCACCCGATCCCGTTAGTCGCCTTTTACGACAAGCAGAATCGCCTTTCACGGCAAGCATGGGTTGCTGAATAACTATTTTAAACCGGATCTTCACGGGTCGGTAGTAGTAGTAGTTCACAGATAACAGGACTATTAAAAATGAGGATTTAATGCTTTTAATCTTGACTTGACTAAAATACAATGTTTTTATTTTACCATCCGCGTGTCTCGCGATAACGTCATTTTATTTTATGATTTATAACGACAGCTCCCAGCCTTGACGTGTTAGCAATTATCATCGCTGCTGCACGTGGCAGCATATATATGTGAATATATTCACACATTATTTATTGTCTACCTCAGTCGTGGTGCACGTACATGTATAGTTTTGACGAAGAAATTTAAAGCCATTTTTATCTATGTATAAAATTAAGTGACTTTGACATAAATATGTCTGCTTCCTCCTTTTTCCATAACATTTAAGGGCATTACACAGTATATGAACTATTCTCAACATGGCAGCAATAATATATATGCACACATAAAAAAAAGTAAAATTTGTGTAGCTAACGTGATAGGTAAGCAAAGGACATTTGAAAAGGAACATTGACAGCCATCTTGCATTATAGTGACTAACCATTTTCACTTGACTGACGCGTGCCAGTATCACGATACATGGACGACATTAGGGCTCAGTTACACATTCAGGATTTTTACTGCCGTCCTTGATAGGACCATTCCCGATTAAAATTTGTCAAAAGTCTGATCAAGATGCTGTGATTCGTGGCGGGAAATTCACAAACAATCAGATGTTGTTTAGGAAGCGTCCCGAATCAGCCGTTTCCAGCCGACATCGTCCCGATTCTATCGTTCTTAATCCGAATCTGATCCGATTTGTATCTTCCGCATGGTGAAAAACGACCGAATCTGTCCCGATTCTCCCGAATGCGATCCGACAGAGATCAGACACTGACCGGACAGTGAACCGACAAAGACCGTCGTCATAAAGCTGGAATATTGCTGAGTGCAATCACATGTACTTGTCATTACTGTACATATAGACTATAACATGAGATATTTAGTTAATTTATCACAATAACTCACTGAAATGGGAGTTCATCGACAGCTGTAAATATATACAAGATACATTATATTTCTTATAAATCAAATCAGAAGTGCACCACACAGTACATCCTATTTTTGATCCCAATAACTAAATATCACCCATATATACAACATCATACCGAAAGACTTCCGTTCGTTTCCCCCTCCAAAAGTTGTATATCTATGCATTGCCGCCCAATCCTTTTCATTATATATATATATTTGAGTGGGGATACGGGCGGAAGTCTTATCGAAACTGTAACTCGAGATCGGCAATAAATTTACGAGTAAGAGATATGTCCTTCCTTGATAAGTAAAGTAGTGATGGATTTTTATAATGCATACAAACTGAACATTGAGGTTTTAGGCTATGGCCAGCCTGGTATATCAGCGAGACGGTTGTCTGGGCCGGTGCGCGCAAGAACGATGTAGGTCAAAAGCATGCAGTTAGACAATTAGTGGAGGTTAAAGTGAGAGAAAGCTTATTTAATGTTACAGAGCTATGTAATGAATGTTTAAGGTATAACATACTAAAGTATATCATATAACAAAAATGATATTATTATTGTTGTTTGAAGTAAGTATCAAAGGTATTTAACTAAATAATTAAATGGCAACAAGCTGATGCAACCTTACAACATCTTTGTCTTCAGGGCTAACATTTCGGAGAACCTACACTTGTAGTAGGTGTATCGAAATGCGAGCCATGGCGATATAGAGGATGACAACTTTACTACTAACTGATCTTAATGAAACGTTATGTACATATTTGAAATACTTGAGCCTGTCACATATCTTTTAAGAAACCAAGACCAATCTACCCCCTATAACATAAGATATTTAGTTGATACATATCACAATAACTCACTGTAATAGGAGTTCATCGACAGCTGTAAATATATACACGATACATTAAATGTCTTATAAATCAAATCAGAGTGCGGCGTTAAACAACAAACAAACAAACAATTATAGCATCCCTTCCACTGATTTACCCACCTGAACTAGAAATAATATTTTCATATTTAGATATATGCAAGATTCAGACTAACAAAATTATCCATAAGCCTGACTAACGGGATCGGATGGTCAGACGTGTTTGGTGCTTGTCATCGTATCCCATGCACCGTATCATCATGATGTCAATCACTTGATTGTCTGGTTCAAACTCGATTATTTACAGACCGAAGTCATATAGCTGGAATATTGCTGAGTGCGGCATTAAATAACAAACAAACAAACAAACAAACAAACCAAAACAAACCACCACTACCACCGGTGACTACTATACAAAATGTCTACTCAATAACCAGTTTCGGTGTCCGAAATCTTAACAAAACATACAAATCGCCAATTTGGAAAATATCAGAGAAAGTAGGCAAAACAGTTGTACGTAACAACTTCTTATATTACTGCTGCCGTGGAAGCAGATGTTATCCTCATTTTTTTGTCTGCTTTGTCATTCGTCAACTTTTATGAAATGCATTTCAAACAATTCATTATCCGAGAAACAAATAATGCATTCGTAGTGGCCACGTAGTGGTACCTGTGGCACGTGACTATACATGCCGAAATACACAGGGTCATTAGCATATGTAAGCCAATATCTCTTAACGTTCTCGTCCCAATTTAAACCTTGAACAATTTTTGCTAACATGGAGAATATTTCGTTTAGGATGATAATTGAATCCAACTTTTGGAGAAAACAGTTGACCACGAAAAATAAGCTACTGAATCTATGCGAGTCTTTTTACGCCGAGGTGAGGTTGATAATTCGTAAACTTGGCTTGTGTCATTTCGACATTCCATTCTCCAAACGTTTCGTGATGCGACACATATGTCCATGTTCTTTTCACAGAAGGACAAGTAACGTGATGCGCTAATCTTAGGAATGACAACATAAAGGTTATTGTTTGCGCGTGCTCTTTACTTCAGACAACACCTTCATATACAGAAGACGGTTCCCAGTCTTTGCCACGCGGGTCACGAAATGTGACAGGTGTCACAGAATGTACGTCCCAGTGACCCAGATAACCCCGGTCTTAGATATATTTGTGTGACTGTACCCGATCTCTTTACCTACGAACAGAGTGCATCAGGGTATGTTCCAAGATTTAGAAAAAAACGTTATCGCTGGAAAACCAGTATGTGTCTTGGTTTTCTTTAAAAGTCGAAATAAGGTTTACACAAACGAACTTTTTATTAGTACAACCAGGGAGTTTTTATGTGTCTATATAAACCGGTATATATATACTCATATATGAGTATAGACTTATGTAAGTCTCTTGTATAAGATTCCCTGGAATAATTATAATTTATTTAGTAAAAGTAATGTGTTTGAATATGCCAAACGTTTGAAGATGAAGTATTTTCTTTCAAGACCATTGATGTTTCATTCTCGCTACAGATTATTTAAGTTTATGAAATATTCATATGCATGCACTTGTCCATATTTACTACCCGGGTACCAGACACCCTATTACCCAGCCCTGCCTGGGCACCTGTTATGGGTCTGAAGAATTGGGTATAAAATGTACGAATCGTAATTGCTTAACCGCAGCGCTGGCAAAAACTATTAATATACAACATAAAATGATCTGATCGTGCATACACTGAAGTTGATAGATGCTTTATCCTTACTTGAACATGTAAAATTAAGAATGAATGCTTGCATAGTCTGAAGGAAATGTGAATATTAACTATGCTTGTAGTTTAGCCATGGAGTTTTATTGTCGTTAAACAATGTACCACATGACTAACCACAGGTTCGGGTAGTTGTGTGGGTCGGGTGGGTACTGAGTAGGACAAGAGTACCCAAAGGACGACCTGGTTAGTCACGTGATATATTGTTTAATGGCAAATATTTACTAGAAATCTATGGTTGCACTATAAGTGACAGATGTTCGTACATTGTATTTCTTTCTGACTATGCACACATTCCTTCTGACTTTATATGATTGAATAAAGATAAAACTTCAGTCAACTTCAGTGTATACATGACCAGATCCTTTCATACGTTTATCTACCCGGGTACTGTCGGGTAATGGGAGGCTGGGTACCCGGGTAGGGTTAGGTAATAGGGGACTGGGTACCCGGGTAGGGTCGGGTAATAGGGTGCTGGGTACCCGGGTAGGGTCGGGTAATAGGGGGCTGGGTACCCGGGTAGGGTCGGGTAATAGGGGGCTTGGTACCCAGGTATGGTCGGGTAATAGGGGGCTGGGTACCCGGGTAGGGTCGGGTAATAGGGTGCTGGGTACCCGTTTTAGGGTCGGGTAATAGGGGTCTGAGTACCCGGGTAAGGTCGGATAGTAGGGGGCTGGGTACCCGGGTAAGGTCGGGTAGTAGGGGGCTGAGTACCCGGGTAAGGTTGGGTAGTAGGGGGCTGGGTACCCCGGTAGGGTCTGGTAATAGGAGGCTGGGTACCCAGGTAGGGTCAGGTAATAGGGGACTGGGTACCCGGGTAGGGTCGGGTAATAGGGGACTGGGTACCCGGTTAGGGTCGGGTAATTGGGGACTGAGTACCCTGGTAGGGTCGGGTAATAGGGGGCTGAGTACCCGGGTAGGGTTAGGTAATAGGGGACTTGGTTCCCCGAGTAAGGTCGGGTAGTAGGGAGCTGGGTACCCGGGTAGGGTCGGGTAATAGGGGGCTGGGTACCCGGGTAGGGTCGGGTAATAGGGGGCTGGGTACCCTACCAATAGGGGGCTGGGTACCCAGGTAGGGTCGGTAAATAGGGGGCTAGGTACCCGGTAGGGTCGGGTAGTAGGGGGCTGAGTACCCGGGTAAGGTCGGATAGTAGGGGGCTGATTACCCAGGTAGGGTCGGGTAATAGGGACTGGGTACCCGGGTAGGGTCGGGTAGGGTAATAGGGGCCTGAGTACCTGGGTAGCCGGGGAAGGGTCAGGTAGTAGGGGGCTGAGTACCCGGGTAGGATAGTAGGGGGCTGAGTACCCGGGTAGGGTCGGGTCATAGGTCACTGGGTACCGGGGTAGGGCCGGGTAATAGGGGGCTGGGTACCCGGGTAGGGTCAGGTAGTAGGGGGCTGAGTACCCGGGTAGGGTCGGGTCGGGTAATAGGGGCCTGAGAACCAGGGTACCCGGGAAGGGTCAGGTAGTAGGGGGCTGAGTACCCGGGTAGAATAGTAGGGGGCTGAGTACCCGGGTAGGGTCGGGTCATAGGTCACTGGGTACCCGGGTAGGGTCGGGTAGTAGGGGGCTGGGTACCTGGGTAGTAAATTTGGACTCGTCCCAGCCCTTCTGTGTGTACCTGCCCAGCATTGTTTATATATATATACAGGCCGGCTGATGTGATGAGTTGTGGTCCCTCTGACGTAGTCTCTCTCCCAGACCCAAGAGAATAAATTAAGTCTGACTCCAGTCTTAAATGATTTGGCAAGTCTAGATTGCCTCAGCTCCAGGAAATTAAGTTCTGGGCTCCATTTGAAATGTACTTTTTTCATTTAGTAGATACATATATTCAAACAAGATCACTTTTTTTCTGGGACAAAATGTCAGTCTTCTTCTGAAGGACACCATTCACTGTTGTATTGTGGGTATTATTATTTCAGTGGTCAGCAGAGAAAGGTCTCTCATATTTCTACAAGATGGCCCCAGAACAGATATCTGTGATTGAAACAGGACAGGATGTTGCCAAGCAAAGTGGGAACGAAACAGAGGACCAGGAAGAAACTATTTGCACAAGCTGGAGAGACAAGATTTACATGAACAAGTTCATCTACACCGTCTACCTGGCCATAGCGTTCTCCATGTTGGTGAGTAAACTGGACATGGTTTGAAACACAATGCCGTTTAGAAAATGGTCAAATGTAACAAATGTTATATTTGGGATTACACTTTCTCATTAAAGTACAAGTTCTAGTAGATTCCAGTAGGGCTGGGACAGGTAACTCGGGTACTGAGTAGGACCCAGGTACCCACAGGACTACCCGGACCCGTGGTTAGTCACGTGATATATTGTTTAATGACAAAAATTATCTAGAACTCTATGGTAACTCTACAAGTCACTAATGATCGCATTACTTTCTGACTATGCACCCATTCCTTCTGATTTTCATATGGTTGAATAAAGACATAACTCAATTCAACTTCAGTGTATGAATGACCAGATTGTTTAATACATGTATCTACATACGTTTTGCCAGGGCTATGCTAAAAATATTCCCAATCGGACATTTTGAGACATTTCCTGAGACCTTCAGTGGGTACCCGGGTAGGGTCGGGTAATAGGGAGGTGGGTACCCGGGTAGTAAATTTGGACTCATCCCAGCCCTAGATTCTAGTACTTTTTGGGGATGAGTCCCATCCAGGATTCGAACCAAACTGCTGGAGTGAGGCACCTAATCGCCAGCACACATTTGGACTCAAGCAAACTTAACACTTTCAAAAGCAGTGAAGTAGTCTGGTGGTGAAAGCATTAGATTGCTGATGACCCTGGTTCGAGTCCCCACATGGGTGAAATGTGTGAAGCCCATTTCTGGTGTCCCCCGCTGTGATATTGCTGGAATATTGCTAAAGCGGTGTAAAACAATGCTCAGTCACTCTCTCACACAATTTCTGTCCCTTAGGCATTTTGGCTTTTGAAAAAATATTTTGGATGATCAAAGATGGCTTCCTAACAGCCATGTAACAAAATATCCACAATATATGGCACGGCCATGTTTTTCATCATCCTAATCTTGTCGTGTTAGTTCACTATCGAGGTACAGAAATAAGATATGCTAAATGCTTCGCTCACTTGTAGTGAGAATTTAAAGCCTCAGCACTGATTGGCACATCAGAAAGTTCACCTGTCACGACCTCCTATAGAGATCTCCCCAGAGTGAGACACCTATATATATATACTATTCGCCAGCACACAATGGGACTCAACCCAACTCAACACTTTCATGAGCGGTGAGGTAGCCTAGTGGTTAAAGCATTAGATCGCGGATGACCTGGGTTCGAGTCCCCACATGGGTACAATGTCTTCGTTTATAATATCTGAATTAACTTAGATTGTTTACATGCTGCCATGATATAGCTGGAACATGGCGTAGAACAACATTCACGCTTCAAAATTTTCACTGTTTCACTCTGTGATATTCTTCAAGGATCAACAGCCATATGATAAAAAACACCAAACATATCGATATTCAGATCTTAGGACATCCCATTACGGGTCATGTCAGAACGACCTTTCATCCGACCAATCAAAGCGTCGCTTACCAGATCATGAAAGTGACAGTAGGAATGTGTTTTCTAATCATGCAACCTCAAAAACATTAACACAGGGTATTCCGAACGACAGTAACGGCCCGTACGACCGATTCCGTCAAAATTATCATCTTTCTCTTGCTTCCGTGGGATAAACATTTGAACGGAGGAGGCGTTGCACAGTACGTGGGAAGGACTGCCATACAATCGCAACCATATATTACACATTCCGGAATGTTCGTTTCTTCAGTTTTACACAATTTTAATCGAGAACTGAGTCAATATATTTTTCAAGCGTAGTCTGAAATGGAAGTCGCCAGGTTGAAACGAGTGCCGTAAAGCTTGTGAAATCTGCTTTCTAATTGGCTGATGTCGACTTCATGTTAGTCGTTTCAGTGGTCGGTCAAAGTACGCAAAAGGTCGTTCTGACCTAACCCGTAATGGGATGTCCTCAGATCTTTATTTAGCAGCAGCGAGAACTTAGATCTAATTTTAATGAGATTGCCCAACATTAAACTATGAGTCCCATATTAGTATGTTTTGTACCCACCAGGGTGTGTGTATCGGACAGAGAGGACCCTCCTTCCTTGACCTTCAAATAATCACCGACACGGACGTGGAGCGGGGATCTGCGTTCTTCACTGCGGGGTCCGTCGGCTATCTGGTAGGGTCTCTCGTCAGTGGCTTGGTGTACGACAAGTTCAACAAGGTGCTCACGATGTTCTTCTTGGGGCTCTGCATGGGCATCAGCACAGGGGTTCTGCCGTTCTGTTCACTCTATGGCTTAATGGTGGCCATCCATCTCGTCACAGGAGTATTCATGGGCGGAATCGACACATGTGAGTTGAAATCTTCAGGGATCAACCTTTGTTGCCAGAAGCGCTGGCTATTGATCAATTATCAATATACTTTGAAGACGTTTCTTTCAGCAAATATACAAAAAGCTCAGAGACAAAACATCATATTTAGCGTCACTAGTTTCCATTTTACTCTCAGTCGACAGCACACATGCTATGCAAATCCTGCAGTCAACTGAAATCTGCACGGCAGTCGCTAAGTTGTTTATGAACCAGATGTCAATCTCGTTACGCGACTAAGCTGGACTTTTACTGTCAGTTAACTCCCTTGCCTCAGTAAGATATCATCACAGCGCTGAGACCACTTTGTGCAAGTGGCCCCAGGGGTATGGTGCTGAATAACCTAGAAACATAATTTGGGTACTTTTTAAGAAATAATTCTAGCTAATTCACACACTTGGGGGGTTGCCAGAGATCTTTATTATACCCCCGACAAAATGTCAGGGGAGGGGTGGAGTCATGGAGGGGTGGAGTCAAAAGATTTTTTTTTTTTTATTACTTTTCCATTTTTTAATGAATTTTTCAAACCCTAATGTCCGTCCGAAAACTTTGTCCTCGCGATTTCTCTTAAACTATTCAGTGGATTCATCTCAAACTTAGTACATATAATCTGTGTCATATGAAGGGGTGCAGTCAAAAGCAAAATATTGTTTCTATTAATTTTCCATTTTTTTCATGAATTTTTCAAACGTCCGTCGAAAACTTTGTCCGCGCGATTTCTCTTAAACTATTCAGTGGATTCATCTCAAACTTAGTACATATAATCTTTGTCATATGGAGGGGTGCAGACAAAAGAAAAAAAATTGATTTTATAAATTTTCCATTTTTCTATGAATTTTTCAAACCCTAACCATATCCTAGCTATTTAATTTGTAACTACTGACACTAGGCGGCTCGGGGGTATTAGTGAGCCACGCTCACTTTTGCACTTGTTTTATTTCTATTCATACTATGGGCCACCAGATCAGCAGACTAGCCATTAGAAGGAATAGTGATGAAGTTGTTCTGTAATCATAACATATTCAGAAATATATTAAGCAATATTAATTAAGCAATTAATATTGAACAAAAATACTTATAAAAGATTTGGTCAAATTCCTCGTATCCTATGGAAATATTTACATCATTCGTTTCTCACAAATCCTCAGTATTTCCACTAGGGCTGGGACGAGACCAAATTTACTACCCGGGTACCTGCCCCCCTAATACCCTACCCTACCCGGGTACCCACTGTAGGTCTTAGGAGATGTCTCAATATGTCCGATTGGGAACTTTTTTAGCATCGCCCTGGCAAAATGTATTTAGATACATGTATTAAACAATCTGGTCATGCATACACTGAAGTTGACTTAGGTTATATCTTTATTCAACCATATGAAAAGTCAGAAGGAATGGGTGCATAGACAGAAAGAAAAGCGAACACTAATGACTTGTAGTGTAACCATAGAGTTCCAGATAATTTTAGTCATTAGACAATATATCACGTGACTTACCAGGGGTCCGGGTAGTGCTGTGGGTACCCAGGTCCTACTCAGTACTCAGTACCCACCCATTAACAATTCACTGATTAGGAACCTTGTCCTTATATTAATATATAGATGTTCCTAAAAATAAACGTCAGGTAAGACAGGTTTTCAGAGCTGATGGGGTCTGATGTTTTGCTTGGATTGTCAGTATGTTGTATTGTTAAAGGTCCAGTTTAATACCATGTTATACATAGTATCATTGATGCCGTCTCTCATGTCAGCTGACCTGTTTCAGGCGGGAATGCAGAGCTGGTTCGTACATGGGGGAGCAATGGACGCTCGGCCATGCAAACAGCTCATTTTGCATTTGCCTTTGGTGGAGTTCTCTCCCCTCTTATGACCAAGCCCTTCCTGTCGCCATTACCAGATGTGATCAATGCTACAACAGCTCCACCCAATGTTGGGTTCAGCGGGATGAATATCACAGTCACCTCAGCTTATATATCCTCCAATTCAACTTTGACCCCAATTGAAGAGAAACAAACAACAATAGTTTTTTATGCTTATTTAATTTCTGCTGTATTGACAACATTCTTTGCTTTTCCATTTTTGATAACATATTGTCGTGAAAAATCTCAGATGAAGAAGCGAACTGCAGGGGAGGCCACTCCGGAACCCCCAAACATGTCACGTGCTGTGTTCATCTTTACGATAGGAATGATATGTGTAACCTACATGCTGTACTGCTCTGTCGAGGACAGCTTCGCAGCGTACCTGATGACCTTTGTCGTCAAGCATCTACACTGGAGCAAGTCTAGAGGAACGGAATTAACATCAGTATTTTGGGCATCCTTTGCTGGAGGAAGATTTCTTGGGATCTTCTTTGTAAAATTTCTCACTCCAGTCAAGTTACTATTTATATGCTGCACTTCTTTAATAGCATCGCTAATCGCTTTTCTTGTTTGTGCGCAGTACGATATACCTGTAGGCATTTGGATCAGTTCGGTCACAACTGGACTGTCAATGTCCGTTTTCTTCCCAACAGGGTTGACTTGGACGGAGGAGGAGTTGTTAAATATGTCCGGGAGAGTTGCATCCGCTATTTTGATAGCTTCATCGTCAGGGACCATGGCGAACCCCATAATTCTGGGGTATCTTATGGATGAACACAGTCTCATGTGGTATGCGTATCTCCTCACGGCAGAAAGTATTGCATGTCTCCTCATGTTCCTCATACTTCTCATCTACGCTCGCACGTTCCTGAAAAAGAGGAAACAGAGCACTGATATAACAATAGAGGTAAAAGCCAATGGTTTCTCGTCACAGGTTGAAGAAAAGTTTCTGTGATCTGGTCAACTAAGGGATGTGAGAGGGACTATTTGATTTTCATTCATATTTTTAACATGGGAAGGCGATACGCAATAAGCAGTATTCCAAACAAAATTTCCCATATTTAGTCAAGGATGTTTATCAACCATTACCCAATTCTGTAGAAATTCTTCTCTTTGAAGTGGACAGTTACTAATGGATATTATCATAACCAAGATCTTGTATTTGACTCACAGTTTTTACATGGCCAATAGCCTGTCCAATATGTGCCTATAGTCAGCACTACAAATTCAGCATTACATGCCTGAATCCATGTTTGGTTACATACTGTTTCACTGAAGACATGTTTTGTTACATATTGTTTTCCTGAATACAGGTCTGAATACACATACAGAGAGAAATACTGTTTCCCTGATGACTTTGTTAGCAATGGATGTGTTTGGTTACATACTGTTTCACTGAAGACATGTTTTGTTACATATTGTTTTCCTGAATACAGGGCCCACTTGCACAGAACAATCTTAGTTACAATCGATCTTAGGCGGCTACAATCAACTTTACAATCACCCTACAATTGTCCTATTCCACTTGCACAAACCGATCTTAACGCGATTGTAAGACGGCTTGGATTTAAGATCGCGATCTTAGCTAAGATTGAAATCTTCAATGGTGGAGGTACAAATATCTTAAACTAGACTCCTGTCTATGGTTGTCTGCAAACGCGCAAATCTTGCTGCGCATACAACGTGTGGAACCGGTTACAACATACAACACGTACCTCCCTCCACGCACCTTGCACAGTTGAAAGGTCTCAACTATTTGAAGGAAACTATAATTAGAATGTTGGCATATAGATTTAGTGACATTCTTATTATGAAAGTAAAAATTGAAAATAATAATAGATCTCTATGTCCAATTAACATAACAGGTAAATGTATGATCGTCATCTATTTGGGGGAGCTTTCCGTAAAATCCTAAATACAACTGTACATGTATATCCTTCATGTTTTAGTTTTGCCGCTATTACAAAGGATGTTATGACAACCTTTTCAAAACATAGTAAGACGGGAGATTTCAAGAATGCATGTACGGGAAATAAGAATAATGTTTCAAGAAAGAAGTTGTTTAATATATATTCATTTGGTATTAATTATATTTTTTAAAAAGTGTGAATTTTACTTTTGCTATTTATGGGATATTTTACACAAATTTCAAATGTCTCATCATGTGTATTTGCTTGTTTGATGAATATTTGCATTAGTTTCTTATAAATTCAGATATTACAACCGCTCGTGACTGTCCCACTCGATTTTAGATATAAACGTATGATTTTGCACTTCAACTTGTGTTTACTTGTAGATTAATTTAATGATAAACTAAAGACAAAATAACTGACACGAATGTGACCCAAAAGAGATACAAGGGGAGCTCGGCGGTTCTACAACATTAATACACTGGGCAAGGTAGATTCTACGATACTTATACAAAGGGAAACCACTCCCATCTAGAATATAAACTATGATTAGCTGCCCTTGATTTATCTTAAAGGTCACGGACGTTACAAATCGCTTGCAGACGACTTAGGTTTTATCCTTCCCTTGATAAGGTATGTTGTTTTAGACTTCTTTCAGCATTGACACGGGTGGGAATAGTACTTTAAACTATCGACTCGATAGTTATGTGGTTCACTATCGCAATTAACGATATTTTTGACGTTAAATCTGTGGTGCGGTCTTCGTGTTGTTGAAGTGTCGATTCGAATCATAAAATCTAACAAAATAAATAGGCAGTGTTTGATCGTAAAGCAGATTATTAATGTGAAACTGGCCCTGTCTTGCACGCCATTTTGTCAGGAACTACAACGATCTTAGCTACTTAAGATTGGTCTGGACCAATTGTAAGTTTCGATTGTAGCTTACAATGATCTTAACCTACAATCGCTTTGTGCAAGTGGATGACAATTGTAGCGTAAGCCTAAGATCGCGATCTTAAGGATTTACAATAATTGTAGCGCTAAGATCGCTTTGTGCAAGTGGACCCAGGTCTGAATACACATACAGAGAGGAATACTGTTTCCCTGATGACTTTGTTAGCAATGGATGTGTTTGGTCACATACTGTTTCACTGAAGACATGTTTTGTTACATATTGTTTTCCTGAATACAGGTCTTAATACACATACAGAGAGGAATACTGTTTCCCTGATGACTTTGTTAGCAATGGATGTGTTTGGTTACATACTGTTTCACTGAAGACATGTTTTGTTACATATTGTTTTTTCCTGAATACAGGTCTTAATACACATACAGAGAGGAATACTGTTTCCCTGATGACTTTGTTAGCATTGAACTATACTGATGGAAATTAATAAGGGAACAATGAAAACTATAGGGAAACAAGAAAACAGCATTATCACTATCCCTGCCATGAGGCACATTAGAAGTTAGTTTGTTCATATTGTAGTGAATAAAAACTATAAAAAAACGAGTCCCATGAAGCCTTAAGAAGAAATAGCCAGTTGGGCAGCTTTCTCATAAAAAATAATGATTAAATATGAAATTAATACACACAAAGGCCCCTTCTCTGGAAATAATGATTCAGTGTTGATAGATAAGCTAGCTTATCTTCCGTAGTTTCTAAGAAAAATTGTCCCCTTTACACACTCTATACACCAAGCAAAATAACAAGGGCCATAACAAAAAAATTGACGGGACCAATTTTTGAACTCAGTCTTGACAAGTATCTCTTAGACAGGCATGCAAACTTTCATTCCTGTAACTTCAGTAGTTTATGAGAAAACATGTCCCCATTTCATGCAGTTTGCACTAAATTGAAAAGCAAGGGGCCTATCTCAAAAAATGAATTTACGACACCAATTTTCGAACTCATTTGAGATCATGACCAGTAACATCAGTGTGTTAAATTTTATTTTTCTGACTTAAATAGTATTTGAGAAAATTTGTCCCCTTGGAGAAGCGGATGGACCTAAATTTTTGGCAGGGGATAATAAGCTTTACTGTGAGTACATTTGAAATAGAGTGTTTACTAATTCAATACATGTCAGAATCAAATGTTGAGATGTGTTTGTGTGCATTGTTTGCAATGTGTATTTGGTAGACAGGGCTGGGAACTCATGATAGCATATCATTTTACTGTGTCTAAAACTAAGTGTTACCTTATTCATTTCAATCAGTATATAAACATGTATTATGTTATTGTCAAATATCAATACAGATTATTGTTTTTGTTGATTTTTGTTTTACATGGTGAATAAGAAAATATTTTACTTCATGAGTCCGTTTCCATGGAAACTATTTTCAAGTGTTGTGTTGTGTTTGATTGAATATTTATGAAAATGTTGATTTTCAACTAAATTGCTTTGAAGACAATTGTTTGTATCAAATGCATTTGATAATCTCGGTGAAATTAATCCATCAAATGGTCAGCACTAACATCCCAAATCAACAAACATGTTTTATATGAAATCAATTTTATGTCCAATTCTAATGAAATCCAAAATGTTGTTGTTTTTTTAAGTAACTTGATTTAAGCATCTTCCTTCCAAAGAATCACAAATGCTTTAAAAAATACCAAGTCTAAATAAGTTTATATTCTTTGTTGACTACTAGTGATGACCCAAACATCAAACTAGGTCAAGTAAGGAAGGCAAGTAGTCCTTTAACTTGTTTTCCTTCATTTGAATGTTTAGCTCACCTGACTGAAAGTAAAGTGCATTTTCATTTTTGACATTTTTTTCACATTTAAATTTTAGGAAGGTGGATTCGTCAACCAAGTTTGATGTGATCTAATGATACTAGAGCTTTACACCAATACGAGTAGAAAGTCAAATGCTACGTGGTTTTAACAGTTTTATTGTATGAATTTCATGTTTTTCATGCCATACCTATACACTGGCTATGCCATACACCATACCTAGTATGATATTATGTTTAATAATACAGAATCTTTTTATTTATTGTCTGTACACTGTACTGGTAATCCTATCTGATACATCTTCCCGAGGCAAGAGCGTCCACTAGCCTTTTTATCAAAGTCTTGTTTCCACCCTTGCCACATCAAGCTCACTTTCCTGTGCCAAATATGATTGGACTGTCGCACATATCGTCCAATCAGAGAACGTATCACAAAATCAACATCCACGACTGGTACACCTCGGTATGGAAGTGATTTACCCCTTCCTGTCTTTGTTGACACAATCTCATTAAAATCTGATCTTAGTTCTCGCTACCGATAAACAAAGATCTGAGGACATCCCATTACGGGTCAAGTCAGACCGACTTTGTGCAAACTTTGACCGACCAATGTAATGACCAATCAGAAGGCAGCTTTCTCGTGCTTTACGGCACTAATTTCAAATTGGCGACTACGCTTCAAAACATATTTTGACAAATTCTCAATTACAAATTTGAAACCTGTACAAAAAAACATTCTGGAATGGCTAATAGATGGTCTAGATTGTAAGGATTCAGTCGTTAAACCCATAACTATTGTTCGAATACCGAGGTTGCATGATGTTTTCGAGGTTGCATGATCAGAAATCACATTCCAACTGTCACTTTCATAATCTGGTATGCCTCGCTCTGACTGGTCGGATGAAAGGTCGTTCTGACGTGACCCCTAATGGGATGTCTTCAGATCTTTGTTTAGCGGTAGTGAGAACTAAGGTCTGATTTTAATGAGATTGTTGTTGACATGAATAGGTCTTTTTCATCTATTAAACTCCCTAACAAATGCCTATGTTTTTGAGTCAGGGATGAAATCGCGAAATGTTGCAAATGATTGACTAGGTCATCGCCTATGGTAGTCGCCATCTTTGTGAAACTATATGAGATTAGAACAGCAATCTGATTGAATATCGCGTTTTCATTACAAGGGGCAGTACTCATGATCTATGCGAGGTGGCGCCAGGGTTGAGCTAAGACAAGTGACCTGGATCTGGCAAGGGTAGAAACTAGGCTTTGATATAGGCTAGTGGAAGATGTATCTGATAATTAATACTACTTTCTAGATCCTAGTCAAGATGTGCCATGTTCCTCTGAAGAGCTTATATACTGGTTCCCCACTGATATTTGCCTCATAAGCACAAACCAAAGTCGTCTCTTGACTTATGAACCAATCTATCAATTTTGTAATGTCAACAGAATTTTTATGATTTGTTATACCCCGACCTGTTCTTATGTGTGTGTGTTTTGTTTTGTTTTCATCTTTTGAACTTAGAAATATGTTGGAGTCAGGGTCGGGGGTATTAACAAACCTGCTCACTTTTTGACTTGTTTGTATTGAAGCAGTGTCCAAAAAAATAGTCTGTTGCTAACAAGAATCCCAGCCCCACCCAACACTGAGAATTGAGCCACAGAGCCTGACGCATTCTTCAGTTGGGGTTATTCGAGGTGAAGCGATACAGCAAGGTCACGATAGGTCAAGATACGTATCGCGATATGCATATTTACTTCAAATCGCGTGGAAACTTTCAACTATAAATATTTCAGAGCAGGTTCAAAAGGAAAAATTACCTGTAGAAACATGTTTGTAGTGACTATTTTCAGTAGTGAACTTGAAACATGAATTACAACACATTTGCAACATTTGACTGACAAAAACGCTGATGTCATTAAACGAGTTGTAAGTAATTTTTTTTAGCAAGTGTATCATCCAGTATCGATACAGAAAGAAAACGTATCATGTATCACTGGTGCACCAATGTATCGTTTCACCTGTAGGGGTTATCCTGAAGAGCAGTGACACATTGTAGGATTCCGACCAATTCCCCAAATTAGACACCACAAGCATACACTACCAATGAATTTGTGTATTCATGTTTTGCTCAGGGTACATTTCAGTTTACTTAGGAAGTGTATTTGCATTT